GAAACTGTTAATTAAACGAATTATTGTTGCTAACTGGACAAATTGATGGAATTAATTAACAGAAAAAAAAACAGGCAAGAATTAACGAATATAATACGTTTTGTTTGTTTTACAGTAAAAAAAAAAAAAAAAATAGAAAAAAATAAAATTAAAAGAAAAAATTGACTGTAATTTTATCTATAAACATTGTGGCAAATAATATGAAATAAAACATTTGCTTGCGTCAAGGTTGCAAGTAAACAAGGAAGTTTTCTTTCCTTGTGTTTTTCAGAAATGTTCGGATAAATAAAATCAATAATTTATTAGATTAATTAATCAACTTCATTAATAATTTCCAAAGACAATGCTATTAATTGTTCTTTCCTGATAAAAAAAAAAATATTCGGTTTACTCAATGTAGTTTATTCTTAGAACAAGTTAAATGTGTACTTTATCAACCTTCACCCTTTAACTAAGCAACTGACACCGTGGATTTATATAGTCATGATATGAAGTTTAAACAGATAAAATGTCTCTTGACATTCGGTGGAATTACTAGAACGAATGATATTTTAGCGTAATTACGTATTCTTGGTAGATACTATTTTATAAAATGCGATTAATACGACCTAGAAAACGTTCTTTTGTAATAAACATTCTTGGTAAAATGTATCATTAAAATTTCCCAAATGATTAGCGTAGGTACCGTAGAAATCAGTCAAAATAACAACTATTAAAATTTCCGAAATGAGCATTGGTACGACAGAAATTAAAGTCAAAACAACAACTATTCAAATTTCCGAAATGATTAGCGTTGTCACCGTAAAAATCAAAGTCAAAATAACAACTATTAAAATTCCCCAAATGATTAGCGTTGTCACCGTAAAAATCAAAGTCNAAATGATTAGCGTTGTCACCGTAAAAATCAAAGTCAAAATAACAACTATTAAAATTCCCCAAATGATTAGCGTTGTCACCGTAAAAATCAAAGTCAAAATAACAACTATTAAAATTCCCCAAATGTTTAGCGTTGTCACCGTAAAAATCAGTCAAAATAACAACTATTAAAATTTCTCAAATGATTAGCGTTGGCACCGTAGAAATCAGTCAAAATAACAACTATTCAAATTTCCCAAATGAGCATTGGTACGACAGAAATTAAAGTCAAAACAACAACTATTCAAATTTCCGAAATGAGCATTGGTACGACAGAAATCAAAGTCAAAACAACAACTATTAACATTTCTCAAATGATTAGCGCTAGCACCATAGAAATCAGTCAAAATAACAACTATTAAAATTTCCCAAATGAGCATTGGTACGATAGAAATCAAAGTCAAAATAACAACTATTAAAATTTCTCAAATGATTAGCGTTGGCACCGTAGAAATCAGTCAAAATAACAACTATTAAAATTTCCCAAATGAGCATTGGTACGATAGAATTAAAGTCAAAACAACAACTATTAAAATTTCTCAAATGAGCATTGGTACGACAGAAATTAAAGTCAAAACAACAATTATAATAATTTTATAAATTTATAATTTACTAGGGATGCCCCGCCACGTGTTGCTGTGGCTCACGATCAGTCCGATACACACGTCAATAAAATAATATTGCGATTATAAATTGAGATAAAAACTATCCTATCTTTCAAGTTGGATGAAACTGCATACAGTGTGTAAAATTTTATTCAAATCGGTTTAGTAGTTTAGAAGTCCATTGCGGACAAACGACGTGACACGTAATTTATATATATTAAGATGTGTTAATTAATTAACAAAGAATTTTATTTATTAAATAATAATGTTTAATCTTAATTTAAATGATGTGAAATATATTTAATGTGAAAATCAAATGTAAAAATGAATTTGTAAAAAATGTAAAAGTCAATTTGTAATAAATGTAAAAATGAATTTGTAACAAATGTAAAAATCTGTTTGTTTCTTTGAAATACATTTAAATGAAATATTTATATGTTAATCAGACACTTAAATGTGTGTTAATAATTATTAAAAAATGATAGTACTCACCACTGAACATAGGCATCGTCAATTCTGGATGTAATTGGGCAAGTTGACGTGACAAATACATTTGACTTCGACAATAAGTTGTTGAAAGTAAAACATCGAGAGTACCACCTCTGATAGTTCCACTTGATGATACACCTGTCGTAGGATTTGACTGTTGAACTGCACCCGATGCGGTAGCTGTTGAACTTCCGGCTAAATCTTCCTGACCTATAAAAAAAAAAAAAAAAACTTAACATTGGTTAAATTACCTTTGCATTCACGTAAAGAGAAAGAAAGAGATAAAAAGATAAAGAAAAAAAAAAAAAAAAAAAAAAGAAAAATATTCATACCTTTTTAAATGAAGTATAATGAAGTGTTACTGTAAAAATATATATATCATAATAATTTTATAAATGAGTCTCAATAAAATGATTATTAATACAATTTCAATGTTACATCATGTATTATTACATATGTATGAATGTACACACGTATGAATGTAAAATGATTCTAAAACGAAATTATGATAAAATATTGTATCATCGATAAAAATAAAATTTAAAAAAAAATGTGTAACTTATTAAAAATTATCTCTGGATAATATATCATAAATGAATGATAGGTGGTGTCTGTTAAAAAAGTGAAATGATATATACTTGGATAGTAAAATATCTACGTGTTTGCAATACAAAAAAATATTATAAAAATATTATAAAAATATTATAAAAATATTATAAAAATATTATATAATATAATATAAAAAATATTATTATTAAATCAAGTTAATAATAAATTATTATGAATTATATATATATATATATAATTTATAATAATTTATTATTTAATTATTTAT